TCAAAGCAGTTCTGTTTTGCAAGAGTAAGAAATACTTCTGTCTGAATTCTCATAGTCTCTGAGGACCGACAGCATAAAGATCACCCCCTAGGCCACAGAGTCGGGAAGAATATGAGATGTGCAATGGCAGATTTACCTCCCAAAAGAAGAACGTACTCCTTCATCTGGGGAGGAAAGATGCTCAGATGGGATTGGGAAAGGTTAAGAAGGTCTAAGCCCCCGAGAAAGAGCCCAGTTCATCCATCTCCTGGACTGTGAGAAGGAGGCTGGGCATGGCATAGAAATCTGACTTGTGCTAACTCCTCAGGGAATAAATCACAGCAGGCAAAGGCAAGTGTCCCAGAGAGGGTGGTGTATGTCTGGGGGTACTTGTGCACAGTAGTGCACATTAAAGAACTGCACCTGAGTCTTGCAGCCCTGCACAGAGGTACCAGGTGCTGTTTTATCTGTGCTCACCCGAGTCTCAGCCTGTAAGTTTCCAACCTCTAACGCTAGCCTCAGGGCTCCCCAAGGCCTCCTGGCCTCTGGAATTTCCACACTACCAAAGCTGTCAGCTCCCTCCTTGGGCGTGGGTGTCAGAGCAAGCTCCTCCTATTACTCAATCCCCATCTCTCACTGTTAAGCAGGGCTCCCTGAGGAAGATTGATTCACCACTTTAAAGGAGCCTCGATGTGCTCAATGAGGATGCCACAAGACAAATGGCTCCTGCCGTGTGCCTTCAGCCCGCTGTCCCGTGTTTCCATTACATTTGGGCCACAGTCATGGTGGATGAGCTTGGGTGTAGTGTTCATTTTCTGCCTTACACGATAAACTTGTCAGCATTTGACTGATCAGCTACTTATATGCAGGGAGTTCATTTGCAAGGCCACCTGGCTTCCCTCTCTGCTGTCCTGCTCCCATTTCACCCTGAGCCAGGACCTGGTTCCTGTTGGGCAGTGCTGGGATCCTGGGCCCTGCAGAGCCTGCACGTGATGGCAAGGCCTCAGTGCTTCCTCACAATCTGCCTCTCCTGCCTGGAGGTGACGAGGGCAGTGATGCCCAGGGAGCCATTCTTTCCTTGCATTGCCCAGTTGAAAAGGAGTGTGCCAGGCCTCCACCCTCCTGCCTCGAGCCTGCATCAAGGCCTGCTCCCAGCCACCTGGCTGAGCAGGCATGCTGTGGGCTGCCTCAGGAGCTGCAGTCTGCCCACTCTGCACTGGCTTTGGGGCTATTTTTAAGGAGCCCTTGGTGAAGTCAGCTACCGAGCCAGGGCTCTCAGAGTTCACCCTGAGGTACGACTAACAGGGATGAAGTGTGCAGCATTCAAGCTGCCCATGGCCCCAGCTTGGCTGGCCTCCCAAGCTGCCAGGTATCCTAGACTCTGCTCTGACCAGACTGAGCTCTTCCATGATCCTTCAGTACTCCCTGTTGTTGCTGGCTAAAGTCACATGACTGAGCTGGGCATTCATAGTCCTTGTTGATGAACCTGAGCATTGGGGTTGGATGCCTGAGATCAAATCCAGCTCCCTCCACTTAGTGGGTGATTATTATCATCCCTGTTTACAAGAGAAACCTTATAAATGGCCTAAGGTCAAGATATTTGGTTTCTCTGCTCCTGACCTATAAAGGAAGCATGACAATGACACCTATCTCATATGCATCAACGTGCATGTTTAGATTGATACCTGGCACATAGTAGGTGCTCAACAAAGGTTAACTAATAGCATCACATCATTATGTTCTTCTAGCCCCACCTAAATCCTGCATGCCTTCACCCATAAGCTGGAGGTCAAGCCGATCACTCACAAGCTCTGCCTACAAGCCCGGGGATCTGTTCCCTGGCCATCCAAACCACTGTCCCACCCCCCACCTACCACCCTGCACTATTATACACCTCCTGGCATGCCTCTCCCTTCTTCTTTGCTGATCTGAGCCTGACCCAGACCTGACCAAAGCCTCCCCAAGGCTCTGAAGGCACTGGCTAGCCTAGCAGCCTGCAGGGACCCCTAGCCCAGCACATAGTGCAGGGCTGAGCACCATGGCCATCTGCAGGGATGCCTAAGGAGGGGAGAAGGGCAGAGCAGGGGGCCTTGCAGAGAGGAAGAAGCCCTACCTTGTCCCAGCCTCACCCTACCTCCACTCCCACATCAACCCATGAAGCTCAAAGCCTCAAAGTAGTTGGTTTTTGCCCTTCATAAGGACATGGCCTTTCCCTTTCCCAGTAGCCAGCTGGGCACCTCCAGGCCCCCTCTGTGAACTGAGTCCACAGATCCCAACTCTACCTGGGCCAGGCCAAGGGAAGCACACTAAAGTCCATTACCCAGCATGGGCTGTGCTTGCCTTGTGCAGAGGGACCAGGCTCCACCCTTGATGAGTGCTGATATGGGGAAGGGGACCAGACCAGGGGTCCAGAGGCTGCAAGTGCTGACTGTCCAAAGCATGGTGGTCTGGGAATGGCAGTGGGGTCATGTGCTGTGCAGCAGGGAATGGTGGGCAGGGGTTGGGGAGCACCTCTGGGCTCTGGTGCTATATAAGGCTAGCTTGACAAGAGTGCAGGTTCCACATCTGCACTGAGCAAGCTGTGGAGGCCACATGCTCTGCGTGTCAGGAGTCCTCCAGGGCAAGGCTGGCACTGCCAGAGGATGAGGGAGCTCAGGGAGGGCTTTCATTGGCAGAGGAGGAGAAGAAGGGCCTTGTCCTGGGCACAGCCTGCACGATGAGGAGGAGATGGGATGTGCACAGGATCAGGGAGGGGCAGGAGGTTGTCTCTGAGGTCCATGCAGGGATCTGGGGAGGGAAGGAGGTGGCCTTGAGGGGCAGCAGAGGTAAGCCATGGAGCCCGCGGTGCCGTGTTTAGAAATTTGGATTCTCCCTTGTGGGCAGTAGAAGCGGTTTCAGGTTCTGAGAGGGTAATGTGGTGACTGCATCCGCTTAAGGAGTTTACAAGAAGGGGAGTTTCACCAGGGCCTGGGCTGGCTCTCATTTATGCTTAGATCCTCAGGGCATGGCCAGATCCTTGATGCTGATGAGACTGAGGCAGGGAAGTCCAAGAGGCCATGCAGAGAGTGAGGAGGCATCCTGCCCATATAGGGACCAGGAGGGGTTCTGAAAGCACAGGGTTCCCAAAGCCTCATCCTCGACAGGAAGGAAGAGAGGATGTCCCAAGGCCAGGCTGGCTTCCCAGAGTGGAAGGTCTGCTGTGGGAAACATCTCGTTCCCCAGAATTTGCAAAAAGTGAGAGAAAGGGGATGCATGGGGCCTGGAGACTCCTTTCAGGCAAAGGCATCTGTGGACACTCCTGGTGAACTTGGAGAATTCACCTGGGCAGAGCAAAGACCAGTGCAGTTAGCTTCTGTGTACCCAGCAGGCATTGAGAAGACCTAGGGGATAGTCTTAAAGATTGACTTACCACCCTGGGAAGGGGAGCTGTCCACACGCCCGCCCGAGGAAGGCAAAACGCAGGCGAGAGCTCCCACCGTCATATCCGCGATCCAGGCAGCAGGATGGAGGAAGGTGGGAAGCAGGACAAAGAGCACATGCTAGTTATCTTTGAGGAGGTTCCCTGGAAGCTGTTGTGTAGTTTTTTGAGATCTTGCTTGTAGAATTTAGACACCTGGTTACCCCTAGCTGTAAGGGAGGCTGTGAAGTATAGCTCTAGTTGATTACCCATGTACCAAGCTAAAAACCAGGGAGGGGTTCTACGAGCAAGGAAAGGACATGTAGTGTGCAACTAGGAGTCTCTACCATGTAATGCACTTTTGCCTGCAAATGCCATGCACCCCATCTTCCCACACACAGAGCACTCTCACCCCTACTGCCTCATCCTGTCCCAGCATCCAGCCCCAAGGTCAAGCTCTCCTGGTGATATGCAGTCCTCACCATTGGGTCTTGAAGTGACTCCTTGGAATTTTAAACCAATATGTTAAACTTTGGGTGGATTTTTTAACTTTTGGTGAACTTGAAACCAAGAGGCAGGCTGTGCACTCCCACACCCAGTACGGAGCTGAGGAGAGAACATCGTCAGCACAATGGACTCCTGTTTGGAAGAAACAGGAACAGGCAGCGGGAGCAGGCCTGGCCCCAACAGGTCCTGCCAGGTGGGCTTAGTGAACCTCCCTCTGCCCCATGGAGGAAGCTGCCAGGGAGGGCAGCTTCTGGTGCTCTCTGGGAGGAACGCATGTGTCCTTGGTGAAGTCACATCCTCTGTGCCTGACTCCCGCTCCTGAAGAACCGTCCTTGTCTGTACTCCTCCAGTGCCACCGGGGAGGGGGATTCCCTTTTGAAATCTGCTTCCTGTAGGAGAATGTCTAGAGGAGCCTGGGAATTGGTAGAGGCTAACACAAAAGCCAGCTGTGGGCCAGGCTTGGAGCTCCTTTGGATCCGTTAGTCCAAAACTGTTCCTATGAGCTCATCCACATGCAGGTTCGGAGCAGCCTGGCCCTTCTGTCTACAGCTCTGCCTCCGAACCAACAGCTTGAGGGCAGGGAGGTGAGCAATACACTTCCTTCAGGTTTTAATGTGAAATTGCCTAATTTTAAAATTGCAACAACTGTTTTGAAATTGCAGTTTAGATGTCTGAAAGTCGTAGTTCAGCACAAACAAGCATGCCTAAACACAGATGTGGCTCACAGGAGCCCGAGTGGAGGGTGCTGTTGGGTGGGGGATTAGGGGACCCTCCACTGATGTGGGCTGACTTGAGGGTCTAAGCATCCCACTTCATCTTGGCATGCAGGACCAATAGCCCACACATCTGGGGGACAGCTAGTCACAGCTGGAGGGCAGGGCTCCTGCAGGGACCATGCAAATAAGTTGGGATCCTGGGATAGGACAGAGGCTCAGGACACTCTGGCTCACGTCACTGCCCACCCACAGTGGGGCAGGGTGGGGGTCAGGGCCACTCAAGACCTGGGTCTTGGTGTGATCCCAGAAGATGGGGCTGCCCTGTCCTGTCTGGGGCTCTGAGCGGGGAAGCCTGGCCTGGAGTGGGACAGGTGCTAGGACTGTGCCTGCCTCCCCTGCAGACTCCACCAACCGGGACTCGCTGGACATGATTGAGCGCTGCATCTGCCTTGTGTGTCTGGATGCGCCAGGAGGCGTGGAGCTCAGCGACACCCACAGGGCACTCCAGCTCCTTCACGGCGGAGGGTACAGCAAGAATGGGGCCAATCGCTGGTACGACAAGTCCTTGCAGGTAAGCCGTCCAGGTGGCCCTGCAAGAGCACAGCCATGCCCCCAGCAAGAGAGTGAGCAGGCAAGCGGGCACAGCCCGGTGCCTAGGCCCGCACGTGCTTGCATCTGGCAGGCACACTCACTGGCTTCTGTTGCCCGAGAGGCTGGGTCTGAAGGGTCAGGATTGCCGGAGGGGTCTGAGATGCGCTGTTGATGTCAATCTCTGGACCAGCCAGAACTTTTCTCAGGAACCAGTGGCTGAACTCAACTCAAACTCCGTAACCTTCCTGCCGCCTGTGCCAGGAAGGTATGGGCCATACCTGAGGCCCATTTCCCATCACCCATCACACCTGTCAGTGGGGGTGTGCCAGGAGTAGGAGAGTACAACAGCCCCACTGAACAAATCCTTAATGCATTCTGAAAGAATAATGTCTGATGCCCAGAGCTGTCAGCTTTTTGGATGTCCACCCCCATGGCCTGGCGATTTCAACATACCTCCCTTAGTCCCTGAGAAGTAGAACAGCCCAGCATCTCCATGGAAGAAAGATCATAAGTGAGATAAAATAACTCATATATGTTCATTTATATGATGTCAGCCTAGAAGCAAGAAATTTATTTTGGCCTAGAGAAAAATACCCGTGCAGACAGGATGAAGTCAAGGTCAAATCATTCATTCCCGTTCTGCCATCTTCCTTTTATTCCCCCAACATGCCAATCCTGAACCTAGTCTTGTTTATTTTAAAGTCACTACACTTTTATATTATATGCCATATAGTATAAAACAGCACGCAAAAACAAAACATCTCTCTACTTTGGGTTAGCAAAGCTCACATTGATAAGCATATCTAGACAACATCTCGTTTTCCTTTCTCTCTGTCCCTACATTCTGCAGGTTTTCCTTTTTATTGGTTTGCATACTGGTTCCGTTATTTCTGATATGCTCTCCGGCTGCTGGGCCAGCTGTTTTAGCCTCCACAGTGGTGCTAATGGCTTATCATCTTTCACGGAGCAGCTGTCGGGGTGAACCGATATAATACATACACAGAATCTGGAACTCAGCCTTGGTAGCAGTTTTTAAAAGACACTGCTTTCCTTCCTTCTTTCCTTCCTTCCTTTTAGTGACAGGCACAGATAAGTACTAATGTGGGGGTGGGCACAGCCCTCCCCACCGTCTCTCATGGGTTAGTCTATGCTGACCTCCAGGTTCTTTTTGTCAGCAGGACAGATTATCAGGCGAGCCGGAGAAGCCAGCAGGGCTGCATGGACCCGAATTCAAGATGATGGAGAGCTGGTCTCAGGACAGCAAGGCAGGGGACACTGGGGGTGGGAGGGGAGGGTCTGCAAGGGGTGAGTTTGGGGAGAAGCTGTGGAAGTGAGTTTCTTTGTAGAATGGGAGTAAAGATCCAGGGATCTGACACACAAGGCGAGAGATTGAGAGGAGACCAGGAGAGAGGCAGCTCGGGACATGTGGAATGGTATGGTGCCCTGGTAGAGACTTTAGTAAAACTCCAAAGGTTGCTTGTTTTGTTCATTTAGAGATAAAGAATGAGTATCTCTTGGGTGTGGTAGGCTACTAGGCAGCCTGCTTTATTTGCATTACACTTTAAATAAAATGAAAAAAAAAAAGGAAAGAAAGAAAGAAACGTGACAGAACATAAAACTTGAAAATAAATTTCTAAAACTTAAAAATCCTAAATTTTCTGTTAGATGTTTAAAATATTTCCTAAGTTTTCTATTGTAAAATTTAATTATAAAATTATGAAAATAAATTATCTACATAGGTAAACAAGTCACAATGAGTGTGTGCTGTTGGAAGAGAGAGACAATTAACTTCCTCATTATAAAAATAATAATAATGACAAGAAGTCATATTCTCTGCATTTAATCCTTCATCTTGCTGCTTCTCCCTATGGAAAGGAAGCCACAGGACTTCCAGAGGAAAGAGGATTTTGATAAAGACAGCAAAAGCTCTGGATATTTTAACTTTTATCATGGACATTTTCAAGCATATTCAAAAGCAGCATGTACATATTGCCAACCTTGGTTCATTTGTTTCCTCCAGATTATTTATTATTTATTTACTGCTGAATCACGTTAAAGCAAATAATTTCACCTACCAATACTTCAAAATAAAGCTCTCACAGATAACGATGCTTAAAAAAAAAACAAAATTTGTCCTCATTATTTTCTCCCACTATTTTTGTGCACTAGGTTTGTTCCTTTCTCAAGTCAGCTAAATAGAGTCTTTGTAAAGTCACACAAAAAAAGTCGTAAGTAATCTCTACAGCGCCTATGGATCCTTCATACAACTCCTCTCCAATCCGCTTCTCAATCCATGAGCTGGGCCTTACCGGGTCTGTTTTCAAGGACAGTAAACTGAAGTCCAGAGAGTTGACGTGTCTCGTTTAGGCTCTCGTGGCTGCAAAACTTCATGTGGGTCTCTGACTCGAAGCCCAGGCGGCAACTCGTGGAGCATCTTCCGTATCTCTTTCCTTCACTTCATCTTTCCTTCACTTCTTCATCCTTTCTTCACACCTTCTTTACTTCTTCATCCTTCTTTCACTACTGTCAAGGGATATTTTATTTCTCCCTAGGAATCTGCTTACCATCCAAAACAGACTGTTATTTTTCATTGTCACTCATTCCACACAATTATTGACCATCAATGGTGGTCAAAACAAACAGGGTCCATCAGACAAATAGTCACATAAAGCACTGCAGGATGGTGCCTGCGATGCGAGCTATGATGGGAAACAGGGCTGAAGGGCCTTGCCCATCCCCCCAAGGGCAGCTGCGCAGATGCGGGATGAGCTCCTCAGGAATCCCTGGACTGCTCAGTCAGGGAACTTGGGGCTCCACCTTCACTGCCCAGAGCCTTTATGGGAAAGAGGTCCCGAGTGCAGAGCAGTCTTGGATTCTCATATTCTCAGGCCACTGCAATCATGTGCAGTGTTCTCTTCAGGAAATAATGTACTCTGGTGTCCCTGGAGGAGAGGAGCCCTGAGAAGCCAGGGGCCTGACCTGGGGCCAAGGGGCTGCTTTGCAATGCTGACTCTCTCCCATGGTCGCCCACTACCTGTTTCTTGTTGCAGTTTGTGGTGGGCCGAGACGGCACCTGTGGTGTGGTATGCGAACACTCCCCATTTGATGGCATCGTCCTGGTGCAGTGCACCGAGCATCTGCTCAAGCACATGTGAGTCTGGAGCCCAGGGATGCCATGCTGGGCCGAAAAAAAATATGGGTGGTCGCTGGGGGCTGTGTCAGTCTGGAAAGTGTCTTAGCAAAAGATGAATTTGAAAAAAATTGTGTACTACATACACACACACACACACACACACACACACACGATGAATTTGAAACCCAGCTTTGAATGAGACATCATGTGCTTCATGGGCCATGGATAGGAGGCAGCAGATTTACGGCAGTCAGGGAGAAATGTGGCAAGGAATTCTCAGGAACCTCTGCCTTGAGAGAGGGGAAGCCTACATCGACACCTATTGCTTATCCTGAGTGAGGGCCAGGCCCACGGCTGCCCCAGCACACGGGGAGTTCTCTGAGCCTCACTGTTTCCAAATCCCAAGGCTGGGTCCCTCCTTAGCTTCCCAGCAGGGCTCCTCTATGCCTTAAACACACGGTGTTCCTTCCTCCATTCCCAATTTTACCCATTCTCTCCTAGAATCTTCTCCCTGCATCCAAGTCTTCAATTTCTTCCACGAAACTCTAGGGTCATTGAAATCTAAACCAAGCCTAGTAGGCACAAACCTTGTAGAAGAGAACAACACAGCTTGCTCTTAAATTTCTCTCCAAGTCTTCTGTAAGGGTGTAACATGGTCTAATAGGAAAACAATGAAAAGAAATAATGGGTTTTGGAGTCAGGTGAAACTGGATGGAACCCCGGCCCTGCCACTTAATGATTTTGGTGGAGGCCTCAGTTTATTCATCTGCACAGTGGTTCAGGGGCAGCTCGTACCCCCTGAAACTCCGTGGCCACAAACACCGACATCTAAGATGATTGCAGAGAGCAAAGAAGCGATGCTTCCCACAGCTCTCTGGCTGCAGAGCCTCAGGAGGTTGCCTCTGTGCCCGCAGGACACAGAGCAGCAGGAAGTTGATCCGAGCAGACTCTGTCAGCGAGCTCCCCGCCCCCCGGAGGCTGCGGTGGAAATGCTCCCCGGAAATTCAAGGCCACTTAGCCTCCTCGGCAGAAAACCTTCAACGGTAAGGACAACCGAAGTCTCCTTCAAGGGGTCACCTAGGGACCGCCCTGCCCCTGCCCACTAGCTCCCAGGGCTCCCTGGAAGTTTCCAAAGACCCCGGCTCCTCTGCCTCCCCTTGGGCTCCACCTCTTCCCCATCCCTCATGGAAATGTAGTCAAACTAAAGGAGAGATAAAACTCTGGGGAAATAACCTTGCTGAAGTATCCATCATTTCCATAAAATGCAAACGCAGGGCTATTTTTTTTTTTTTTTTTTTTTTTTAGTTTCACCTGACTGAGCAGAGTCAAGGCCGGGAGATCATCCCCTGCTTTCGGGGGGAGTAAAAAACAACTGGTTTGAATAGGTCATTTGAATTCAAGCTATTTCAATTTGCTTGAATTTACACTGCAACTTGACAAGGGGGTCTTTTTCCCCAAGGGGAGGGGGCCATTCAGGCCCTAACGGGACCCAGGGAGGAGGGTCTGGGGCAGCAGGGAGCAGTGGTGGCAGCCGCATCCTGGCAACCATGTCTGCACTGTAGCTGTTGATTCTCCCATTCAGTAAGCAAACATCAATGCATTCATTCACTGGTTTGCTCATTCATTCATCAAACATATGCAGAGCTCTAGTGTGCACCAGGCCTGTGGTAAGTCTCTGAGAACACAGAAAGTTAAGTACCATGGGACCTGCACTCCATATTTGAGTGGAATAAGTAGACTCCCAGGCCAAATCGTGTGATACAGTAAAATTAATGCCAAAAGAAGAAACAACCATGCTGACCTGAACCCACAAAAATATAGAAGCTGAACTCTGTCAGGACTGTGAGGGAGGGCCTTGCAGAGATGGGCCTTGAAGGATGGATAGGAGTTCATGGTGCAAGCAGATGGGGAAGAGGCAGAAAGGCAGCTTCTTCAAGCTTGTACAGGTTCATAATGATGAAGGCTGGTTTGGAGACCAGCAAGTGAGAGAATGGCCAGAGCTGGGCCACAAAAAGGCAGTTGGGCCGCACTGTGATGAGTGTCACTGTCCTTCTGTTATGGGCCTAGAGCCTGCCCTGCCAATGGTAAGGAGCCGCTGGAGAGATCTGTGCAGGGGGTATGGGGACGCCCCGAAGGAGGCCGTGGGAAGGGCACATGTGAGCAGGACAGAGTGTGACCAGGCTGGGAAGCTGAAGAGTGGGAAGGACCTCTCCACCGGGAGCTGCCCGAGAGGACGCCTGGCTTCGGTGGGCATGGAGGGGCCTCAGGTGTTCTATAAAGTGGTGCTCACATTTCAGCTTTGCAGGGTTTTTCCAGAGCTAAGTCAGCAGCCAGGGCAGTGAGCTGGTGGGCTGCTGAGTCCTCAGTGGGTGAAGGAGTCCACTCACTTCCAGGGACCTGAGCAGACCCCATGTTCCCCAAAGCCCCCAGCTCCACCCTCCAGAGGCTGAGGAGAGCCAGGAGAGGCCCATGGATGGGGAAGCAGGAGGCTTTTCCCTGGCTGTCCTGAGGGACCCATACAAGGGGGGCCCATACAAGGGAGTGAGGCCCGAGTGGGCACAGCTTGGGGGAGAGATTTCCAGGTGGCCGTGGTGATAGTGAGCTCAGTATGTCCCAAGAGTCTGTCAACAGGTGGGTCTAAGGGGCAAGTACTCGTGGGAACTGGGTCTCCTCCAAGTTCCCCTGTGTTCCCAGCACCCGGCCCCACTGAGAGCTGATCTGCTGTGAGCAGGAGGAATACTTCAAGGAGAGGCAGGCAGGGAGCATGGAGTCCCGACGGAAGCTGTGCATGTGGGCTCGGGTGCCCACTCAGGCTATGCGCTCTCCGGTGTGGAGGCACATAGACCTTGCCAGACACTGCTCCAGTGGGCAGTTAGTCCGGACCCCAGACTCCTAATGGAGGAGGAGATGATTCAATATGGGTGCCAGCCAGTGCTCAAGAGTCTCAGTGCAGACTTGGAAAATGTTCCTGTTACTCTGACAGTGAATTACAAAATCCCGGGCATGTCACCTGTGACACAGTGAGTCCCGGCCTCACTAACACAGCCAGGCCACCTCCGAACCCACTCTCCAGAGTCGAGTCGACACCCTGCTCAGCTGAGCTCACCTTGGGTCATGGTAGTCCTGGCATGGTGTGTGTTCTGACACTTTCATAGGTCAAGGCATGTCTCTGACACTTCAGTGCATTCTTGGAGGGCAGGGACTAAGTCCTCACCTTCCAGAATGCTAGGACACAGACCAGGCTCAAGAAGCCCAGGGAAGCCCCATGGTGCATGCATACTGTTTCGCATGCAATGAAAACGTCTTTTCTTTTCCTTTCTCAGAATAGTAAAGAACCTTGACTTCATTGTCTATAAGTTTGACAACTACGGGAAAACATTCATTAAGAAGCAGAAATGCAGCCCTGATGCCTTCATCCAGGTGGCTCTCCAGCTGGCCTTCTACAGGTGAGTGAAGGAGGAGTGAGTCTGTACCCGGGAGGGCTGACGAACACGGTGCTGTAGGATCTAGGGTCTAGAAGCATCCTGGAGGGAGGAACAGCGCTCTGTGAGTCTGGAAGACTGGAGAGTGACCGAGGCTGCCTGAAGGAGGAGCAGACTGAACTGGGTTACAAATCCAACCTCAGAACGAGAAGGATGTGCCATCAGGGAACTGCCTGGGTGATGGCACAGGGACACAGAGCTCCAGAGGGCTGGACTGTAGAGTTGAGAAGAGCCAGGAAGGGATACGGACCATGGTTGGAGTCAAGGGGCTACCCTCCATCCCAACTTCCCCCACCTCACCCAAGCTCTATTGCTGCAACCTGTTCCTCCCCAGTCTTCCCAATCTTGCTAAGGAAATGGAACCAGCAGCCCCCCAGCTGATCAAGACAAAGATTTTGGACTCATCCTTGATTCCGTCCTTTCTCGTATCCCCACGCACTGCCATATCCATTCTCCTCCAAATGTCTCTCACCTACCCTCCACCTCCACTGCTATCGGCCCCTCCCAGGCCGCCATCGGCTCATGCTTAGCCAACAGCAGCACTTCCCTAAGGTCACTGCTTCCACCATTACCCCTGATAATACTGTCTTCATGAAGAGTGAACTTTGAAATATGCAAATCAGACTCGATTACTTTCCACATGAAACTTCCCAGTGCCTTTACATCAGGATTAGAACAAAAGCCTGGCTTAGAAGTGCCCCCTGTGGACTGGTCTCACCTGAGGCCTTCCCACACCCCCAGCTCTCTCCTGCCTCCTGACCTTTGCCCTGGCTGTACCTCTGCCACCCACAGAAGGTGTGCGTGTGGGCTTGGGGTCACCACCCTCTACACGCACCAGCCCTTTCCAGCCCAGGTTCCATCCCTTGAAGCCTTTCCCCACCCCCTTATCTAATGCAGCCCCCTCTGGCCCCCTTGCCACCCATTCTCTATCATACCACATTGAATTTTCTTTTTCTTTCAGGCAGTTGTTACTCATGTGAATTATCTTGTTTGCAGATTTGCTGGCTTTGTTTTCTAGACTGTCCCCGCAACCCTGACACTCTGGGCATCTCGCATGCCTCTGAGTCCCTAGCACCCACACCATACCTGGCACAGAGTAGGTGCCAGAGACTGAATCACAGATGGAAGGTTTGGCCAGGAGTGGTTCGGCCAGGTCTGGGATTTAGACCTGGTGACCCAGGTAGCTGTGTGTCAGTGAAGGGGTGAACAGTAGGGAAATCAGGAGTGAAGGCAGGGAGAGAGGTGAATTAGCCTTACAGGAGGCGAAGAAACCAAAATTCGAAATAGATCTTCCTGGAGATGGGGCCAGCTCCTGACAGTTCCAGGGCTCCAGCAGCAGCAGCTCATCAATGCCTGCTATGAACGGTAAAGCTCTGCCCTCAAACCTGCTTTCAGTTTGCAACTTCCATGAAAGGCATAAAGTGACCCTGCAGTAAAGCTAGGGCAAGGCATTCTCACTAACAAGCAGGCAGCACTCGTGTGGACACAGCAGCCCAGTGTCCCCCTGCAGGGCTGTAATTCTCAAGGAAGTGAGTGCAGTTGCTTTGAGTGTCTGTCCTGTCTGGACACCTTGGGGAAGGTCAATGTCATCCCATATGAGGACTGGGCTTGCCGCTGAGACTTGAAGAGGCAGAAACCTCACCAGCACTGAGATGCTTGCAGGACCTACCTGGCATTTGGAATGGTGGTCAGTGCCTTCTGATACGCAGAGGGCATGGGGCCGAGATAGGCCATGAGGTCAGCATCCTGCCGGAGCCTCGACTGGGGATGCCACCAAGACCAGCTGCTCAGGACCTCTCTACTGTGAGCACTTCCAAGTTTCAAGGCCGGGAATGGACATAGCCAGAGGCTCCTGGGTTCATCGAATGGCCAAAGAGGATCTGCTTCCCATGAGCAGCGTTCTTCAGGCTCTAAGCTGTAATAATCACAATTGTTTTTATTTGTCCCTAGATTCAGCAGAAACCCAGAAGCTGCCTGAATTGGGGTTGGTCAATGACTGGCCAGTGATGGCTTTTGCCTCCAGGGACCAGGACAGGAGCTCCTTGCCAGAGTCTTGGGGAAATATGTCAGAGTGTACAGGAAGGTCATTCCCTTGCTCACCAAGCAAGACAGTATCACACACCCTGCAGAACTGGACACGGCCTTCCCAAACCTCAAGGAGCCCAGCCAGTGAGGGAGAGACATGTCCTGAGAGGGCTGAGATGTGGGGCCATGACTTGCTGGGTGACACTGGGCTGTCACTGCTTCTCTCCAAGCTCTGTGTCTTTTTTCCTCCCCTACTCCCAACACCAAGGACCTTACTGAGTGGTGAGAAAGGAAGTGTGCCCGCCAGGGGTGCAAGCCCAGGGACACTGGCCCAGTTCCCACGCATAAGGAAAGAGGGGTCCCCTGGCTGGTGGGGAAGTGGCCACTGCTGCTTGGGTCATAGTCATCAGGGAGGTGAGGCACAGCCATGGTGCCCATGGGTCTGTCAGAAGCCCAGCCGCCCCTGGAAGGCCTGGACAGCCATTTACGCTCACCAGCACTAAGGCCCCTCCCCGCCTCCCTCCAGAGGTCATGCTTGAATCAGTTTAAATAAAACAGGATTCCCTCATGGGTGGGAATGATTAATTACACAATTATTCCATTCTGTGCTATTCCTCAAACACTCAGGTCTCACAGTAAACTCTAGGTTTTCCACCAGGTGGGGAATTATTTTTGAAGCGCTACCCATCACTTCTTTATTTTATGTCAGTGCAGCATCCCCGGCTGTATACAAGCAAACGTGGCTCTCCATGTGGGAGACTCCCCAGCGTCGTCTTTGGGAATTCCCTCTAGAATTCTATTAATATTAAAATGAAATATTCTGACAAGTCAAGTCAGGGCTGTGAAAATAAAGCTTGCTGAGGCGGTTTTTCTTTCCGAGTTTATGATTTCCCAAGAATAAATTACCACGTGCCATTCATCCTTCATCCCATGCAGGCTCCACCGAAGACTGGTGCCCACCTACGAGAGTGCGTCCATCCGCCGATTCCAGGAGGGACGCGTGGACAACATCAGATCAGCCACTCCAGAGGCACTGGCTTTTGTGAGAGCCATGACTGACCACAAGGCTGCTGTGCTGGTAAGTCCTGCCCCATCCCATGGCCACAGGAAACCAGTGAGGCTGCTGTGGGTTGCCCTGGGCTCAGCCCTCTGACCACCAGACGCTTTGGCTCCGAGCAGCCTTTTAAACCCTGCGCTGCCTCTGTGTTCTGTTGACAGGCTTCTGAGAAGCTTCTGCTCCTGAAGGATGCCATCCGTGCCCAGACTGCGTACACAGTCATGGTGAGTGATGTCGCATCACCTCACAACACTGCACTTGAGCTGTGCCTGGGGCCTGCCAGAATGGGCACCATGGCACGAGACCCTGTGTGAGGGCCCAGCCACCTGTTACTCAGGGACTTGGCAAAGCCACTTCACCACCCAGTCTCTTGTTTCTTCGTTTTAGAACCTAAGTAACGTAGCATTCCTGCTTTTGACATGGATTTTACAAGAATACAATGAGTTACCACTTTTCAAACCCTTTGAAACAACCATAATGATAATAATAGCACCTAATATGTATAGCATCTTGCAGTTTATACAAGAGGAGTCAACTGTGAGGGGAAGGGGCTCAAGCCTGGCAAGCGGTGGGGGTCACATACCTTCCCCAATCGCAGGCAAGGCAGTATCTGTTCCCACCTAGGGCTGCTTTTGCCTCTTATTCTCTGTATATTCATTTATACTACCTGTGAATAAAAAGTCTTTGCTGAAAATTAATAGGGAAATCAAACTTGTAAGGGAAATGTTTCCCTAGTTTAGAAAAATAATTTATTTTCTGGTACTGCAAAGCTATTGTTTGCAATAGCAAAATAGAGAATAAGCAGCGACTTGGACTACTCATTAATACCTTCATTGCAAGTCATTCTAATACAGTCTTTGAAGGATCATATAATCTATGAGAAGGAGCTGAACAAATTTCACTCTAGATAGTTGAAGACAGTTGCTAGATCCCTAATTCATCTAAATACTTAAGTGTTTGTTCTATTTGGGGAAAATGTAGCACCCGTTCATGTATTCAGTGGGTACTTTTTTTTTTTTTTTTTTTTTTTTGGTCTTCATGCTTTATGCCAGGCAAGGTGCTGGGTGCTAGGAAACAAAATATGAAGTCCATAAGCCCTGTCCTTAGGGAGGTTACCGTGTAGTTGGGAGAAGAGGCCCTTCAACGTGAATACCAATCCCATGTGAAAAGAGCCCTCAGAAAGTAGCAGGGGACATGGAAAAGCCAACTGTTTTCTCTGCTTGGGAAAGCCAGGAAGAATTCCCAGGGGAAGTGGTGCTTCATGTGAGCCACAAAGGATGAAGAGAGGCTTGTCAGGCAGACACAGGAGGGAAAGATGGCTCAAGAAGGGTACCATGTGCAAAGGCTGAGAGCCTTAAGAGAATAAGACCCATTCGAGGAAAAGCAGAGCACAGCTTGCAAAGGACCGTGGAGCAGGGGAGATGTTGGATTTCCCTGTTACAAAGTGTGTTACGGTGACTGCGTAGAAGAAGGACTGGTTGCAATTGGGGGTGGGAATGTTTGCTGAGACGCAGAGTTGCTGGTTAAGAACCTTTCTAATATGGAGGGAGAGCTGGTGTTTGGACTGGAGCAGGACAGGGGCAGGGTGAAGGGGAAGATGTAAACTCCTCCTCTTGGTGGAAGAAACTCCTCCTGCATGGTGGACTGCACACAGGGTTACTGTCACTCTCTCAGAAACCCTCCAAAAACAACAGCAAGGGATTTTTGAAAGCCATAAATACACCAGGGCAAAGGGAACTGGAAAGGAGTGGCAGCAACGTTTTAGAGCTGGAAAGCAGAACACATGGCGACTGACTCAGCAAACAGTGAGAGAAGCTTGGGAGACTGGGTAATTTATGAAGAACAGATAATTATTTTTTATTGTTGTGGAGGTTGGACGTCCAAGATCAAGGTGCCAGAAGGTTTAGTGTCTGCCAAAGCCTGCCCTGTGCTTCCAAGATGGCGCCATGTTGCTGCATTCTCCTGAAGGGTCAAGCACTGTGTCCTCACACAGTGGAAGGTGGAAAGGCCGAGGGCTGAACACTGTGTGCAGCCTCTTGTATGAAGGCCTTAAACCCATTCATGACCTAATCACCTCCTGAAGGTCCCACCTCCTAATCCTATCATACCATTAAGCTTTAACACATGAAGTTTGGACAGGACCCAAACATCCAAACCATAGCAGTTGATGATCTATATAAAAAGCAGTTAGACCCTCAGTTCCTCTCTACCACCCCAGGCAGCCAGGCTACTAGCCCCTCTCCCCAGTGGTGAGCTAGAAGTTCATTCTCTGGAGAGGCTGAAGCAGAAGGACTCTAGACTTGAGAACACTAGGCACGGCTGAGGGAGGGAATACTGTATGGAAATTAATTGGTTAATTAAAGTCTTCTTACTTACTACTAAGCCCTCCAGCCACTCAGCTCCATACACACTGGGAACTAGCTCTGTAACCACCCCTCACCAAGCAAGAGATTAGAAGATTCCTCTGTGGTAAAATTAACCGGGCCAAGAGAGAACACTCACAGAAACTGATAGTTGGGGCCCACAGTGAAAGAGCCTAGTCAGCAGACGAGGTAGTGGTTTGTCAAGAGGCAGAGCTGCTAGTTAAGAACCATTCTAATATTGAAGAAGAGCTACTGTAAGGCCAGTGAAGCCCTCAGGTTAACAAATACATTTCACACATAAATCTTCTAATCATATTTTCAGTGCTTTATCCTTAAATACAAATAGCCATGGACCCTCAGACATTGAGAAGACACAAAAGAGTAAAACCAACACCAACAAACATTTTTGCTAATCAAAAAATATCTTTTTTAAAAAACTTGAAATGGACCAGGCACAGTGGTTCATGCCTGTAATCCCAGCAATTTGGGAGGCCAAGGCAGGCAGATCACCTGAGGTCAGGAGTTTGAGACTAGCCAGGCCAAAATGGCAAAACCCTGTCTCTACTAAAAATACAAAAAAGGCCAGGTGCGGTGGCTCACACCTGTAATCCCAGCACTTTGGGAGGCCGAGGCAGGCGGATCACCTCAGGTCGGGAGTTCGAGTCCAGCCTGACCAACATGGAGAAACCTGTGTCTACTAAAAATATGAAAAATTAGCCAGGCGAGGTTGCGCATGCCTGTAATCCCAGCTACTCAGGAAGGCTTAGGCAGGAGAATAGCTTGAACCTGGGAGGTGGAGGTTGCACTGAGCCAAGATTATTGCATCATTGTACTTCAGCCTGGGCAACAAGAGCAAAACTCCATCTCAAAAAAAAAAAAAAAAAAAAAACCCACCACCACCACCAACAAAATTATCCAGGTGTGGTGGCACATGCCTGTAATCCCAGCTACTAGGGAGGCTGAGGCAGGAGAAATGCTTGAATCCAGGAGTCGGAGGTTGCAGTGAGCTGAGATTGCACCACTGCACTCCAGTCTGGGTGACAGAGAAAGACCCCTTCTCAAAAAACAAACAAACAAAGAAAAACTTGAAATGAAAAAAGTACAAGAAACAACTGAACAGTTTAAAAGTGATCATTGAGATTCTTTGAAAAATAAAAGGAGTTACTTCATCTATATGTGATAGGAAACTAAAAGCATTTTTCAGGAAATAAAAATAACTCTGGGGGAAAATATGGTAGAAAAAAATTCAGTGGAAGAATTAGAAGATAATCTGAGACAATATCCCCAAAATATCAACACAACAAAGAGGTGAAATACAAGAGAGAAAAGAGGCTTAGTCCAGGAGAACAATATTCCAAATAATTGTTGTTCAGAAAGAGAAAATGATGGAGGGGGTCCTCAACAAAATAATTTAAGAAATTTCCCCAGAACTGAAGAACATGAGTGTCCATATTTAGAGAGTTCATCAAGTACCTTGCTTAATAGATGGAAAATACTCATAGCAAAGGAAATTTCACAACACTAAAGATGAAGAGAAGATTCTAAAATCTATCAGAGGACAAAAAAATCAAATACAAAGATCCATAAAAAAGATGTAATTAATTTCTGAACAGCATCGTTGGAATGTGGAAGATAAAAGAGCAGTGTCTTCAAATTCTGAGAGAAAGTGACCTTCAACACACATTTCATACCCAGCTAAACTATCATTAAATTTGAAGATAGATCAAAGACATTTTTAGACAGAGAAAGTCTCAAATATTTTACTTATTAAGCACCATTTCTCATAAAGCTACTGGAGAATGTAGACTTCTAAAGTGAGAAAATAAAACATAAAAGAGGAAATCATAGGCTCAAAAAAGTCAGATTTAACACAAGAAAAAGATAGAGGGTTGTCCCCAGGATGATAGTAAAAGGAGATCACAAATCAACAGTTGTTGAGTAGACCTAGAGAGCAATCAGTCCATAAAGAAGCAAGAAGTGAGAGGATGAATGAAATTCTTGCTGCATGTTTAGGAATCAATTAGAAACAGATACATGGGGCCTGGTGTGGTGGCTCACGCCTGTAATCCTAACACCTCGGGAGGCCGAGGCAGGTGGATCACCTGAGGTCAGGAGTTCAAGACCAGCCTGGCCAACATGGCGAAACCCCATCTCTACTAAAAATACAAAAAATAGCTGGGTGTGGTGGCACATACCTGTAATCCCAGCTACTCAGGAGGCTGAGGCAGGAGAATCACTTGAACCCAGGAGGTGGAAGTTGCAGTGAGCCAAGATCACGCTACTTCACTCCAGCCTGGGCGAAAGAGCAAAACTCCATCTCAAAAATAAATAAATAAATAAATAAAAGAAATAGATACATGGAAAGCAAAGGAAGTAAAAAAACAATTTATACATTGTCAATTCTAGAGGAAACAAAAAATTCAGTAAGAAAGGAAATCTAATCATAGTACAGTACATGACCCAGCTGTGAATACTTGCTTAATTATACTTATGTATATTGTTCTGTATACATGATTATGCTGTATCTTGATCTAACTACAAAGAGTTAAAATGTAATCTTATTGGGAAGATGGGAGAGTAGAAGTGTGCTAGGGGAGCAGGGTCATAAAAGAACTGAAATTGGCCAGGTGCAGTGGCTTATGCTTGTAATCCCAGCACTTTGGGAGGCCGAGGCAGGTGGATCACGAGGTCAGGAGATCGAAACCATCCTGGCTAACACAGTGAAGCCCCGTCTGTACTAAAAATACAAAAAAATTAACCAAGCGTGGTGGTGGGCACCTGTAGTCCCAGCTACTCCAGAGGCTGAGGCAGGAGAATGGCATGAACCTGGGAGGCAGAGGTTGCAGTGAGCTGAGATCGCACCACTGCACTCCAGCCTAGACCACAGAGCAAGAGACTCCATTAAAAAAAAAAATAGCTGAAATTTCACTGTTTATAACAAGAAGATTATAGGTAAAACTGAGAAATTCAGTAGTGGTAGCCTAAGCATATATTTGGAGGAAAGAAAGTATATGCCCAAAAGAAATAGCTAAAAGACTGTAAGGAATTACCTCCTTGGGGTAGGAATCCGTGCTGGCAAAATGACCTTGGCTTTTGGCTTATTTGGATTTCTAAACGATATAAATATATGACAATAACAACTTTAAATTATTAAAATGTCTAGGAAAACACCCTCCAAAGCATTGCCATAGGGTTGTGTTAAAAATTTGAAGTTGATGAAAACAACCAAATCAGAGATGGGTTTGGGGAAAGGAGAGATACAAAGACGTTTACGAGGTGAATCTGGTGTGTGGTTGGACACGGAGGATAAGGAAAGGGGAAAAGAAGCAAGGAAACCTAATAACTGGTAAGCATATTTGCCAGTGGTCATGGAGAAAGGAAGTTCCAATGGCAAGGTGGTCCAGAGCCCCCATCACTTACTCTCCCACTGTTCTGTAGTTTTCCTTCCTCACACTTGAGTTTATGATCATGTTTTTTTGCATGGTTGATGAAATCTGCCCCCCACTACACCATAAGTTCCACAAGGACTAAGTCTACAACTGTCTCGTTCTCTGTTGTGGCTCCAGGACCTGCGGCACTAGGCACATAGTAGGCACTCAATTAAGATTCCCTAAATGAATGAATGAAATACTGAATTATAAGTCATTTCACTCATTATTACTCATGGCTCTGAGCCAAACAACCTGTGAACTCAGTCTCTCTTGCTACAGTTATTCCAAGGTGGTAAAAAGAGGGGTGAGTTGACTGTTCACAGGGCAGCTGCTTCTATGAACCAACACAAATCAAGAATTAAATAGAGGAAACCAGAGAAATTAAAAGACTAGTCTCCTTCACAGATAGGCCCACCGTTCTTTCCTTCTGTCCTAACAGGGCACATCTAAAGTAAGCTGTGGTTGTGTAATGTTTGTCTTTTCAGCCTCTAATTGGGTACGTTCATAGAGAACAGAGCCTGTCATCTTTATGCATTCATTCGCAACCGAAAGAGAACAGCTGTCAAATCCCTAAACGTGCCTTGTAAACCTATACCAAGTTCATTGTGAATGGGAAGTTTCTTCCTGTGCAGGGCTTTGACAGCTAAGTGGCCATCCTAGAGAACTGTGAAACCCCAAGAGTTACCCTGATGTTGACCCAAAAGTGATTGTTATGGGTGAGGGTGGCCCCCTGAGTCTCCATCAGCCCCTAGAATTGCTCCAAATAAACATGTAGTCCAAAAAAACCAGTGTGCATACTACATACCCAGCCTCAAGTGGGGGAGCCATAGAATGAGTACCCAGCCCCACTTCCAGACACCCCACCTTCCATGAACCCCTCCTACATTGACATCCTGGAGCTTTCTCTATATTTCTATCCTTTGATGAAAGTTTAAATATATTGTGATAATAAGAAAAAGAACTTTTATCATTCAACTGCCTCTTTCCCCTTGAAAATGTCAGCTGAGCCTGCTAAGGGGTCTAGTTCCTGTCTCAAAACGATTTCTTAGATTATGGATCCAGTTTAAATGAATTGATCCTGAGCCATGAAATAGCAGCCAAGATTCAGGAACAGATCTCACAACCTCTATCCTCCATCTCTTGTTCCCTGGGCTCCTACTGGAGGAGACAGCGCTGATTGTGGTGAGAGTCCGTTCAGGACAGCCTGGGATGCCCTTCACAATGCTTGCACAGGATCCAGCAGTCCCCAAGCCCTGCACACAGCCTTCTTCCCAAACTCTCTCCCCTGCCCAAGTAGTTGGTAGTTGAGATGTCCAGGCCAGCCCCATTCTTTCCACTTAGAGAACCAGCCAGGCGTAGGTGTGTAGGGGATGCTCAGATTCACTAACCTTTAGTTCAGATATCTCAAGCTAGATAACCCAACCTGCTCTGGACTCAGTGCACGTGGAAATGTGCAAGGGCCCAGGAGCAGAGGCCGCATGGTACAGCGGTCAGTCCTGAGCAGCCACTCACACACATTGTTGGCAGCAGGCACTGGATAAGAATGAGCCGTGGCTGCTGGAGTCACCAGTAGTCCTGTGGACTACAGAGGAGGGAACAAGGAGTTGCAGGGGGCCCACTTCTCATCTCCTGTTCTTTGCCCCCAACTACCCAGGCCATAACAGGGATGGCCATTGACAACCACCTGCTGGCGCTACGGGAGCTGGCCCGAGCCGTGTGCAAGGAGATGCCCGAGATGTTCATGGATGAAACCTACCTGATGAGCAACCGGTTTGTCCTCTCCACCAGCCAGGTACAGCCCCGTGCAGCCATCGCCCAAGCGTAGTGTAGTCAGTAAGCTTTCTAAAGAACAGTGACAACAAGCCCACTAGCTGGAGTCAGGCAAATCCTGCCTCTGCTTTTTCTGAACTACGTGACTGTCAGCAAAATGATCTGAATGTTCATTAGAAGATGGTTTACTGACTAGGCTTGGTGGCTTACAACTATAATCCCAACACCTTGGGAGGCTGAGGCAGGAGGATTGCTCGAGCCCAGGAGTTTGAGACCAGCCTGGGCAAAATGGAGAGACCTCACCTCCCTATTTTAAAAAATTAGCTGGGCATGGTGGTGCGTGCCTGAAGTCCCAGCTACTAAAGAGGCTGAAATAAGAGGATTGCTTGAGCTGGGGAGGTGGAGGTTACAGTGAGCCTTGATTGCACCACTGCATTCCAGCCCGGGTGACAGAGTGAGACCCTGTCTCAAAAAACAGAAAAAAAGAAGAAGGTTTCCCATCTCCTAAACGGGAGTAATCAGCAGACCCTACTCAGCCGAGGTGGAGACAGTACAGGAACACACCCATTCTGGTGCCCTAACCGTTACATCTTACTACCTTTCCATCTATTACCGCGGTTTCCATGGGCTCTGACACCCAGCAGGTCTGGAGTGAAGTCTTGGCTCGGCCAGATTCAATGATGTAGGGAGAAAGCCCACTCCAGGGCCTGGCATGGACAGGGCCCTCTAAATAGGTCACAGATATTATTGTAAAGGGCCACGCGACCAACAGCAGAACATTCGTGGCCAGCCCAACATCTAACCAGTCGGCAGCGTGTCCTGTGTGAGGGCCACTGCCACAAAGACAGAATGCAATCCATTAGATAGAGGTCGTGGTTTAGGAGGGGAAATGCCCCACAGCCATCAATTTACTAAAATGCCACCTCATCTGCGAAAAGCTGGACGTGGGCAGTACTGGGGTTGATGAGCTGTGTTTGAGGACAGAAGCCCACTCAGTAATTGGATGTTGTCATTATGGCAGTGAGCGTGCAGACGTGAATAAACGAGGACAGAACACAGCACCATAAATTTCTCAGGAAATCATCCATGGGCAAAAAGTGCTTTGGAATGGCTTTATGGCCTTCGGCTATTGCACGGCAAATTTATCTGACAATGCGGTGACTCTATTAGCAAGACTAATGGTTTGTTCTGCCCCATTAAAACAGCCAGTGTCACTTCTGAAGGCCTAAGCACACAACACCAGGAACCTGTAGGTTTAAAACAAACCAGGCCCTGCACCTGCCCGAGAATCCTTTCTACTTTTTTCCATAGGACCAGCTAATAAAATTAATCTGGGGTGTGGGGGTTTTGTTGTTTTCCAACTGGAAAGTAGCATTTATGGCTTGAATGCTTTCAGAAACATACTTTCTTGGTTTGTGATCTGGATTACAAAATCTCAGCACTCTGAATTCAAAACATACTAGGTGCATAAGTAAAACTCCAGTTGATGGCAATCTTTGAAACACCCAATGCTGGGTAATTGGGCATGGCCAGGCTGCAGGGAGAAATCAGAGCAGCCAAGCAATACTGACAGTAATTAAGGATCTGGGGAAAATCGACAGAGAGGATGGGCCAGATTTCCTCCAGTTCATAAATTCCTCCCTCCGGAAAGCATCTAACTGTGGGGTGCCACCAGGGGACCATTTAGTAAATTACCTGATTGCCTCCATGCCTCAAATGGCCCCCAGGTGAAGGGGAGACTCAGCCCAAGACCCAGCACCAGGTCATGATGGGAACTTCCAACTCCACAAGTAGAGCAGATTGCACACCAGGGAGTGGGCTTGGGGCCCCTCGTCCTCTGATATCATGCAGTTAGATGGGTCTGTTTTTATGACTCTGGCTGTGTCCATCCATGCTGAAGCAATCACTTGATTTGGTTAATTCAGTCAAACCCCCAGGTGGAAAACAGTCAGAGAAGCCAAGCCCAGTCAATGCTGGCGGGCTGCATTCCAGAACAAGCAGCTTCTGACCTGTCCTCTCCTCCAGGTGCCCACAACCATGGAGATGTTCTGCTGCTATGGTCCTGTGGTCCCAAATGGGTATGGTGCCTGCTACAACCCCCAGCCAGAGACCATCCTTTTCTGCATCTCCAGCTTTCACAGCTGCAAAGAGACTTCTTCTAGCAAGTTTGCAAAAGCTGTGGAAGAAAGTCTCATTGACATGAGAGACCTCTGCAGTCTGCCGCCACCTGCCGAGAGCAAGCCATTGGCAACAAAGGAAAAAGCCATGAGGCCCAGCCAGGAACACCAACCTTAACTCCTGCCACTAGGTTTCACCTCCCAAACTCAGCCTCTAGAGCAGCCAGACCCTGCCGATCCCCACTCCCATCCCTTACCCCAGCTTGCCACAGCTCCCTGTCCTCAGAGTCCAACCCACAGATCACACAGAGTTGGAGTGTTAGGAGAAAAGGGTCCCCTCTTTATGTATGGGAATCGTCATTTTCAAGGTGCCTTTGGGCCTGTGCACTGGGAAGCGGGACCAGCCTGGCTCGGAGGCAGCCTGGATGCACTGGCGAGCCACAATGAGGACTCCTGTGGTCCTCGGAAGCTTAGTGTTCATGTCTCCTTCTCCAGCAGGACCTAGTGTGTCCAGGTGATGCTTCTGCCCAATGAAAGGATGAGTCACCTTATTACATGCAATGTACCTAAATGAGTTAGGAAGGAAGAGGCTAACACCAGGTCATTACCTTTTTTCTTTTTGTGGGGAGAGGAGGCTGTGTTTTGAGATTCAGAGCATTCCAATCGTGGCATTCTCAGTGCCTCCACTGAGCCGTACAATCCTGTGAGCACCCGCTCCTCCTAAACACACCACAGAGCCCAAGTCCATTTAAAATATAGTGACTTGGGCCCACAAACACATTTCTGCTTTTGTGCCCAGGGGCAGCCTTCTGTTGAGCTCAGAAAATTGTGTCCAGCTATTCTGAAAGGAAAAAAAATTTACCTGTGACTGCCCTGGAGTTGCTGCCACTCTCTGCTTAGCAGACGGCATCAGGGCCAGTCCAAGAAAAGTAAACTGCACAGCCCCAAGCAGATGGCGCCTGGTGCCAGTGGGTTTGCAAAGGACCTGGCCCCTTCCTGGGGTCCTGCCATTTGCGTTTTTTCTGCATCTTTTCCCCTCTCCTCCCCTCCTACATGTTCCAGTAGGTGGAGAAGAGAGATGGTTACTTTGGGTTTTTCTGTTATCTGTTTTAGGACAGAGATTTTTAAGAAAACCACCCTGACATTAATTTCAGAAAATATTAGTTATTCAAGCAGGATCCTTAGGCAGCTGGGCTCCTTTGTTTGGAGCAGGCTATCCAGGGACTCTGACAAAAACCCATGTGGTAGAGCCTAGAGCAGGGCTCTCTTCTGGCCTCAGGGACTGAGGGGACAGCTGGCAGGGAGCAGGGCTGGTAGGAGGGCACAGCCTCATCCAGAGTCAAACCTAGCCCCAGCTCCAGCTCCAGCTCCACCCCCAGCTCCAGCTCCAGCATGGGCAGGATAGACAGGTCAGCCCAGGCAGAGTTGAGATGTCTGGAGAGACTGTGATCATAGAAGAGATGCAAGAGGCACTTCCCTTTGGAGCACATTTTTATGGGAAGTCTAAAGGGCAGGGGAAGGGAGTGAGAAAGCAACCAAAGAAATCTACAGCACAGAGCCTGTGTGTTCTGCTGCACGTCCCTCCAATCCTGCTGCTTCCTGCTGAGCACTCTGCTCTAGCCCAGGAATCCTATAGGTTTCCCATCTTTGGGCCACTGTGAAGGCTCTCCATACTTCGACCTGGACTGTCACAGGCCAGCAGAGGTGGGGTGGGCATTTGACCTTTGCTCAGCTCTTTGAAAACACAAGCAGCCTCAAGAAGTGAGTCCCTTGAACCCCTGGTTTTAGATGGAGGATCTCTATTACATGTTGTGAGAGATTTGGGCACCGCCCTTTGAACATACAAACTTAAGTCATTGGCCTGTAGATTGATGCTCCTTCCCTCCCACAGCCACCTTCCTGCTCTGCTTAGGAAGTTGCAGCACAAGGGTCCTGCGGTTTTCTGGGGAAAGGCAGCCCACTTGCTGTAAGTTGGCCCAAAGCTACTTGTCTGTTCTTTCCAAATGACCACAGTGCAGATCCGAGTTCTCCTCTGGTTTCTTTCCCTCCATGGATGTCTGGGCAGACAGAGAGCTCCAGCTATGGGACCAGGCAGCCCCACCGACCTTGGCCAAATGACACGCATGCCCAGAGACTCAATTCCCTCCACTGTCAAATGAGAACAAGAATGTCCCCACTTGCAAGACTATGAGGATTGGAGGGCATGTGTGTTGAGGACCTTGCTGGGTCAACAATTCATTTGTCTTTGTCTGGAGTCTGCCAGCAGCAGTAGCCAATGTTTAAAAGACACAGGGGCCAGGAGAGAAAAGGGAGGAAAGAATTAAGTCTCTCCTAGTCTATGGCATGCCATCACGGGGTCGAGTAGGGGCAGGGAGGCTTCATGGGGCCTACCTTTGGGATGACATTACCCCAGTGGACATTGTTTGAGTGGTTTTCTTTTAAACTATTTACACTGATATGACAGACCCAAACTCATATCTGCTCCAAGCACACGGAAAGGTAACTCACTCTGCACATTCGGATATCAAACCATGCACTGTGAGGGCTATAAGAAACGCAAACAGTAAATGCCTGGCAGGAGGGAACACTTCCTCTCTCTGAGGAAGAGGCTGGAAGCTGGTCTTCCCCCTCCAATAATACACGGGTGCACTGAGTCTTTATGCAACGGCAACACTGAGCCATGGCCAAGGGCATCTCTACGGGGATCCTGGGAAAGGAGCCTGCTCCAGGTGTCCCCAAAGAGATGGAAAATGAGATAGTCATTTGGAACAGTGATGCATATGTATGTGGCCACCTTACAATACTGCTAAGTTGCTAAAATACATAAAGTTAATATTTGAGTTCTATTTTTATAAAATAGTTCTAGATTTATGGCAATATATACGCGTATAGCCTTTCAATTTTAATTTCTAGTTTTGTGCTTTGAAGAAATATATGTATGATTAAAAAACTGTATATTGTAAGCATTATATTCAAATTATTTAAAGATTGTAAGCCTATATTCAATAAAAAGTAATGCCAAGAAAGATGATGTTGGCCATTGTTTCTACCCAGACTCGCTTTAAAATATAACGTCATAAATTCTCTCAGCTGGGTCAACAATTCATTTGCCTTTGTCTGGGGTCTGCCAGCAGCAGTAGCCAATATCTAAAAGACACAGGGGCCAGGAGAGAAAAGGGAGGAGAGAACGAAGTCTCTCCTACGGCATGCCATCACGGGGTGGGGCAAGGGGCAGGGAGGCTTCATGGGATGCTTGTGATCAGGTTGACAGAAACCTGGGTGTAGACAGAAAGTGGGTGTCTCCAGTTAAGCCTGCACAAACATGTGTGGACAATGTGCAGCAGAGAAAAGAGCACAAGGCTCAGAGGTCAGATGCCTGGAAAATAAACACAGCTCTGTTTCTAACTTACTGAGGACTTTGGGTAAGTCATTTCTCCTCTCTAGGCTTAGTTTCCGCATCCTTACAATGGGAATATTGATATCAGCATTACTCAGTTCCAGGGCTGTAGAGAGATGATATGAGATGGTCCCTGTTTGAAAACTTAGGAAGTGGTGTAAAAGCCAAGCCTTCTTGTTGCATGGTCACACAGACATATGCACACAGCTTCTTTTGCCCTGCACAGCTGACATACATTCCAAGCTGCAAGATGTCCTTATAGCCATGAAAATCCACAAAATCCGAACTGAGATTCCTCCAAATGGAAGCCCAAATGCCTTCCAATTGGACCCTAAAAAAGAACCTTGAAGTGTTTGGGTTTGTGGGATTCAGGATGCTGGAAAGGCACTATTCAAAGAGATAATGGCTAAGAGTAGTCCAGCAGGAGTGGAGGGGAAAGGAAAGAACAAGATCTGAGCAATGTGGGTTTTGCTCTTACCACAGATGTCACAGGCATCCTCGAAGTAACCAGATGCAGACACTGAGAGAAGGGCAAGAGCAGGCAAGCCGACCCGCAGCATGCAAAACCACGCCACCCTCCTGCAGCCTCGGAAGCTCCCTGCAGGGTGGGTGTTGGTACAGAAGCAGGGAAGAGTCCCTCCCAGGTTCATAAGAGCAGCTAGAAGTTTCCAAATTACTCCTAAGCAGTTCTCCTTGGAGAGTTATGTGAGAAAAAGAGAGAGAGCGAGAGAGCGCGCGCTAGGTGGAGGGAGGGAGATTGAGAGAGACAGTGTGCAGTACCTTGGGTTCCCTTTATAAATTCAGCCTATCTCCCTGTTTTTGTGCTTCTGAGTTTTCATTTCAAAGAAGCCTCTTGAGTCTGCAAGGTGAACAATATGCCACATCTGGGACAAGCTGGCCACACATCCCGCAAAAGGACCTTTCTAAAAGCTGTTCTTTCTTGGCTCCCAGGGACCAGCTCTCTCCTTGTTCTTCTACTGTGTGCTCCTCCTAGCTCCTTCTGGGCTTTCTCTTCCTATTTCTGCAGTGTACATCCCAATGGACCCCTTAGTCTCTGTTTCTTATATTAAGGTGCAGCAATATGGGCTGAGGTGATGCAGAAGGGCCTCTCCACCTGCAAAACCATATACAAAAAAAGGGAAACGTTTTAAAATATATAATCAAGTTCAAGAGAAAGAAAGCAAGTCCTCACATTCCAGAAAAGAGAAAGATGTCCAGAGCACAGCACTAAGCAGGAGCCCAAAGTGAAGCAGAATAGAGCCTCAGTGGCTCCAGCTGGGTTCACCGTCCCTGCAAGCAGAGAAGACATAACAGCTCATGCAAGGCAGGAGAAGCAACTAAACTCCCTGCACAAACTGGGACCTCCCAGAGGCATGCCGACCATGTGACAAGAACTAGAAAAACGTTTCTGATCAGTGCAGGAGATGAGAAAAAAAGCCTGCCATCCACAGGGCTGTAGATGGGGGAAAAGACATCCATGAGAAAGTCAAACCATAAACTCATGCCATACGTGGACGAGGAGCTTGAATTCATACCGCTTATATGTACAGCAGGCACTCCAAGCCGATAATTTTTTTTATTCTTGCCAAACATATTTATTTATTTTTATTTCAATAGCTTTTGGGGTACATGTGGTTTCAGGTTATATGGATGAACTGTATAGTGGTGCAGTCTGAGATTTTAGTGCACCTGTCAGCTGAGTAGTGTACATTGCACCCAATACATAGTTGTTTTAAAATCCCTCACCACCCTCCCACACTCCCCCTTCTAAGTCTCCATAGTCCATATCACTCTGTGTGCCTTTAAATACCCATAGCTTAGCTTCCACTTATAAGTGAGAACATACATGTTTTTTGTTATTGTTCCTGAGTTACTTCACTTAGAATAATGGCCTCCAGCTCCATTCAAGTTGCTACAAAAGACATTTCCTTCTTTTTTATGGCTGAGTATTATTCTATGGTATACACATTACATTTTCTTCACTCATTGGTTTATGGGCACTTAGATTGGTTCCATATCTTTGCAATTGTAAATTGTGCTGTAATAAATACACTTACACAGGTGTCTTTTTGATATAATGACTTCTTTTCCTTTGGACAGATACCCAGTAGTGGGATTGCTGGATCAAATGGTAGATCTACTTTTAGTTCTTTAAGAAATCTCCATGCTGTTGTCCACAAAGGTTGTACTAATTTACATTCCCACTAACAGTGTATAAGTGTTCCCTTTTCACCACATCCATGCCAACATCTATTGTTTTCTGACTTTTTAATAATGGCCATTCTTGCAGGAATAAGGTGGTATCTCATTGTGGTTTTAATTTGCATTTCCCTGAGGATTAGTGGTGTTGAGCATTTTTTCATATGTTTGTTGCCATTTGTATGTCTTCTTTTGACAAATGTATATTCATATCATTTTCCCACTTTTTGATGGAATTATTTGGTTTTTTCTTGGTAATTTGAGTTCCTTGTATAATAGATTCTGGATATTAGTCCTTTGCTGAATGCATAGTTTCCAAATATTTTCTCCCATTTTGTGGGTTGTCTGTTTACTCTGTTTACTTTCTTTTGCTGCACAGAAGCTTTTTAGTTGAATTAGGTCTCATTTATTTATTTTTGTTTTAG